TTTATCATCAATTTTTATCACCTTATGTCGCGAAATGAAATTTTAGCGAAAGCAATAAATCTGAGGCAAAGGCAATCTTTATTCTCGCATCGATTCATATTTATTGCCGACGCGTCTATTGCGCTCACCTCACGTCAACATGACGGTATTTCGACGTTGAAGCGCGGAACATTATATTTCGATAGAATTCTTCCTCTTGACAGATTCTATCTGACGTGCGTCGAACGAGCCGGCTTAATCTTACCGTTAGGAATCGCGATAGGGGAGGGGAGGGGAGGATATCATTTTGATAAACCACCATCTGGCAACATCGCTCGCTCGCTTTTCATAAAGAAACCCAAAAGCGAACGCAGCGTTTTCTGTTCCAGAGAACGACGACGCCGCGCCGCGACGATGGCGTAGCCCCCCCGGCGACGCCTTGTTACTTCGTTCAATTTCTATTTCCCTACATCTAGGTGGATATCGAGTCTCTCTCTTTCTCTCTCTTTCTTTCTTTCTTCCTCTCTCTCCTCTGCCGCGTTTTACCCGTGTTTTATCCGCTTCTTCCTCCATAACCACGGCTGACTCGAATAAACAGCACCGTCACCGCGAATTCGAGATAACCTATCCGTTTTATCGAGGCAAATATGCTCAGGATCGGTACGCACGAATGCCATTTTCTGCCCGCGCCTCTTCCTTCTCCTCGTCCTTCTTACGGATTATCCGCTCTCGGCTCTCGTCGTTGCCGCTACGGGGAAAACATAAATCCCGGGGATGGTTTGCGAGAGCACCACGAACATTATACCCCTATACTGCAACTTTTATTACATTCGATCTGTGTTAGATTCCATTGCCACCAAAAGCAAATATTGACTAAATCCGGTTTTAATTCGGGATTAATTACTCGCTCTTTAACCACATCGATAACAATAAAATTGAAATTTTCTTTTTAAATGTTAAACATAATTTATAGGACTCGTTTCAGATTGTCACTAAAAAAAACATGGAATTTATATGTTAGAGAACTAATTGTAAGAGTTAATAAAGATGCCATCGTTTATCGATATAAAACCCATTGCTAAATTTCTAATAGCCATAGCAACTGATAGCAACCTGAATAGTTTCGTCACAACTTTTTGGTTTGGAATGACTTCAAAAAAGCATATTCGAGGTATGGATTATGAGACGACCTGCATTACGGAATAGTGTTTCCAGTGCACTTTAATAAAATATGTTATATTATGCCCGCGCTCGGACGATATTAAAGTTTGCCAATGTTTGCACGTTGCTGGCGCGTCATAGCGCCATATTTACCGGAGAATCCTTTCTCGGAAAAGAGACAGCAGGCAAGTTTATTTAATAACACGTAGAGCAGCGTCCGGGGAAAAAAGGAAAATCGCGGGAGAAAGAGGCGCTTCAAAATAACGCTTCAGATAGAAGTTGGTAGGATGGAATCAAAAGGAAACTACCGAGGTAGGTTACCGCTTAAAGATATCCGAGATCCTCGAGAAAGTTCGTGAAAGGCACATCTCGTAGACTTTTGTAATTTGAGAAAACGAAGGATATACACACGCGCTTGCGAGACTGATTGTTCGAAAGCAGCGGCTTTCGTCACGTTTTCGCTCCGTTGTGCGCTAATCCATTCGCTTCTACCATCCTTCATCAAAAGCACACGCGGTAGACTTCTAATATACAATTTCCGTTTAAACGAAGATATAAATTTATCTTCTGCATTATAAAATTACTCAAACATTGAGAGTTTTTAATTATAAAGCTATTTACACAATTCTTTGCCTTTATCTTTGACAAAAATGAAAATTATTTGAAATTTCGATAAAATCAATGTTCAATATCTGCACACATAAAAAAATGCATTTTACATCAGTCGTCACGGTTTCATATTCACAAATAAATACAAAAATTAAAATTAGTGCATTTAAAGATTTTCTAAAAATTTCTTTAAAAATTCTGTAGCTACATACAGATTACGGAATAATTAAATGTTTGGTGTAACAGAAAGCTGATATCGGAAGACTTAATGACTGGATATCTGAGAATGTCTTCCGCGACGGCGTGGAAAAAAGCACAGAACTCGATAGTTTTCCTATTGTGGGAAATACATTGTCCAGAAGTAAGGAAAAGGAAAGTGATATCCCGGTATTACAAAGCAGATCTACACTCCATTCAAAGAAGACACTTTCAACAAGATGAAGTGCACGAAGCGGCTTAGACATTCAGGAGAAGAGTCCGTTTATATCTTCCCGTTTATTACATTGTACTTTTAGTATATTAGAGCATTGCAAGACTGATTTTCATCTGATTTCACCTGTCCATGCGTTTTATTTGCATGTTTTTCAACTGCTCAGATTATCTGATATTTTATTATTTTTATATAATCTAGACGCTAATTCTAATAAATACCTAATTTAATAATACTAATCATGTGTTCGATAAAATTTGTCCATTTATTTATACTTTCCATTATTTTGCTATTTTATTCATCTTAATATTAATACTGACGCCAATCGAGAGAAAAGTTGCGCCGAGAAATCCCATTCACGAATCGTTTCGCTAAAATTTAATCAAGTACGTAATCTGCTATGCTTTCATTGACTTTAGCTGAAAATGTCGCACCAACATACAATTGCATCGACGAACTTTGCCACGCGCGATTACTCTTTGTTACTGCCACTGCCTTTCGCAACCAACTCATAAAAACTTTCTATGAAAACTCGTTGGAAACGGCCGACCGCGCGACGGCAACCTCGACGATTAGTATAAGTAGTAGGAGGGAAGGTATATTATGTTATCTAAACCAAATTATCAGAACACAAAAAATTTTATATGGAATTAATTTGCTAATTATTTGTTATTTTTTGCTTGCAAAAATAATTTTTTTGATCACATTATTAAAAATTTACAAAGGGGTGGATAACTTAATCTTAAGCTGTCCAGCCCTTCGTAACTTTTTATTAGCTGGACCAAAAAAATTACTTTTAAAAGCAAATAATTGCAAATTAATTCCATATAAAATTTTTTATGTTCTGATAATTTGCTTAGATAGCTTAATTAAATTTTCCTTCCAACTATTATACATGGAATAATGTAATCGTTTTCTCATCTTTGAAACAGTATCAACCCTTGCAATTTGTAATGATGTATACTCGGTTTTCTTAATGCAGATATAATATCTATTAAATACGTAAGAATTAGAGTAATCAGTGCAGTAGTATTTGTCCATTTTTAAGAAATTGAAAAAATTAATCTTAAAATATTGGAAAAAGTAGAAAAATTTAGAATCGAGTTCTTCTCAAGTTTTTAAGAAAACAATTTAAAATCTCACAGATAATGAAAATCTAGCCACTTTGTTTTCTCGATCGTCACTGTCGCATAGTGCCGTTCGTTTATCTCTCGAAATTTGGATGTGCGATCGATAGAGCTCCCTGTATGTAATTTCAACGGCAAGTAGCAGCTCGAAAGTGACGCAAGTGTAATGCGAAACCGGCCGGTATCGGTGCGATACGAGCTTCAAGTAAAAAAAACAAAAACAACTTTGCCACTTCAATTTCACGGTACACACGCAAAAGTGTAATTTTTTAACGCGCCCGGCCGCGTCGGAAATTCTCTGTGAAAAGCTTCGCCGCAAATGTGCCGCGATATACGTGGGGTCCTCCTTTGTTCGGCCATTCGGCGCATCGCCGAAGTTCACCCTCTTTTCGCGTTGTTTGTTACAAACCGCGCGAAACGGGCTAACTGTGGTCATTCAGAAAGGGAGTTCTTATCTTCGCTGCTTTCTTCTTCTTATTTCGCAATAGATGGAGAGGAAAAAAAAGAGAAGGGCAGAGACCAGAGGCCGGAGAGAGAGCGCTTTCGCCTACAAAATTAAATTAACCTTCCCCATCTCGTGCGTCTCGAGTGCTGACTGCTTGACCCTCGCGAATCCTTTCCTCGATCTTTGTGAAATAATTCAATTCGCCGGTTAAATGAGACTATCTCACTGTTACATTGACGTAGTAGCGATTAACCGCTTCCTCGTGCACTTAGCACTGTCCTAAAGAACGTGGTAAATGTGTAACGCCAATGAGAGATATAATGAGTAACAGTGTGAGTGGTACTGCTATCACGGAAAGTGGCAGAGAAGAATTTCTGTTTGTTTGCAATATCATCTAAACGGTACTATCCTAACATTGTTTTCTGTTTCGAGAAAACAAATTTGAGTTGTATGTATCTTTAAGGCAACAAAACTTGCCAACTGACGCAATTAAAATATTATTTAATAATATAATTTTAATCATAATGTGTTGCGTTATTAAATTTTTTTATTCTACGGAAATAAATGCGAGAATCATGAAAGTGAAAATAATTGACAGCGATGCCTGCATGGCTAAGGAAGCAATTTTTTTGGTAGTTTGCATAATGTACAAAATGGATGTCGGTAAATACCAAATAATTGTCAATCAAATAAGATTACGTTCTTCTGATCAATTTTGTAAAATAATTTTATAGTAATTGCATTTTCCGTAACGTGGTTGAATATAGTGGCGAATTATTGGCATGAAAAACGATGTTGAGAAAATCCGATCAACGTATAGTAGATCTACGTTAATGAATGTAATGCTTGCACTGCATTTATATCGGGTAAAAATTAAATAATGCAGCGGTATATTATTTCGCTTGATTAAGAATATATCGTATTAAAATTAATAGCGCATGTAGTCTTTGTTCGAAGAATCTTTCAAAGATTCTTCTTGCCGATCAACAGAATGACACAGCATATTTGTCTACCGTTGAAAATTTCGATCTAACACTTGTTAACGACACACATATTAAACCCGAGAGTTGAATACTACTAAAGCTACGATACGGTGTCAAAGGAAGAGCAGCGCGTAGTTTACTGCTGGAACGCAAGCTCGTATAATTTCCCTTTAATCCCTTAAACACGATAGCGGATGAATACTAAACATACTCAATTAAAGCCGCCCGTTCGCGAAAACTTCTGGAATTGGTTGAAAGTAACTTACCCTCGATAGCGGTGCTGCTCGGCATGTCGCCAGAATTATAGAGGTCATCTGAAACAGAAGTTAGAAGTTTATCAGCTGCGGTGGTACTTCTCGGTAGACGGATATTGGGCATGAATTAATTAACGAGTACTTGCGAAACACTTCATTAGATTAAACTTAGATAGCATTCTCGGGCGCGTCCATTATTTCGCGATCGGGGGTGCCCAAGCGACTCGATTCGATCGAGAACTGCTAACAAGTAAAGTAATTCAGTCTTCGATAATTACGTCTCCGTAATGACCAGCGCCGTAAATGCAATTTAGCTCCATTAAAATACCAAATCGCGTGTCATCCAGCGAAGTAATTGGCATTGATTAAAGAATGAATTCACAAAGAAGATTGCATTAGTCAGAACCAATTGATAATTATAATGGGCAATGTAAAAAGTAACGGAACGAAAGACTAAAGAAAAAAGAAAGAAGTTAATGTGCGAGGAAAGAATATAAAAGTAGAATAAGATTATACAAAGACAAATTTATTACTGAAAATTGCGTAAGTTACATATCAATTTCAAAGTGCGCTTGCGCTATTTCGAACACTGTTGTATTTCTTGCTACTAACTCGATAAAAAATAATTAGATGATTTAAAGATTCACATGAATATTCAAGAACCTGAGACTACTTTGCAAAAAATACCTCGGTCATTTCTTTTCTCGAGCATATTTACGCGCGATAAATAACTCAGTCAGCTCTATAAATGTCCTGGTCTTATTAAATATCACAGCCATTGTGGGTACCAACGCGTTATAGATTATGAATTTACTTAGGGGTGAGCAATTCAATATTTCGCGCGGCCACGAACGTTTGTTATACAAATATCCGAATGGATTGCCGCCGGACGTTTAATATAGCGAGTAAATTTTACGCAACATCGACGCGAGTCCCGGGCAAATATCGGATTATTCGAAAGTGCAGGTAAATCCACGGAGTAATCTTCCTCGGACGACCGCTGCGATATTTACTATTAATATTTGCCCAGCCGCGTAACTGCCCTTCACCTTCCATCCAATCAGCTCTGCACGTCCTACGTTGGTAGTAAACATTAAATCGACGCTAACAAGTTTTTAGACAAGTGCAATCCAATGTCTTTTTCATATCAATTATTGATATAAAGTGTAAATTAATATTATAAAGCAACAGCTCAACCTGCTTGAAAATATTTTCTCAAATACTTCCACAAACATCCGTAAATTTCCACATAAGGTGTTCCTATAAATATAGACTGATATATTCAGAGATTGCTTTATTATTAAAATAAATTTGGATTATCACGAATCTCTTTATACTAAAAAGATAACCGTTAGAAATTAGTTTTAGATTTGGCCCACACGTTTATTTTTTATTTCGGTTTAATTTAGCAGATTATAAGATATGAATAGCAAAGAAGCATCCGCGCTTATATATATTGTCTAGTTTCCTATAACTTTACATCACCCACGCGCGCCGATGTTGCTATATTATATTTATGTCACGTGCTAATCTTGTACATCCTTGCGCGAGTCATTAATTTATAAATAGATAGCTTCCGACGAAATTAATGGTTTCGTTTCTGCTCCGAGGATAGCTTTATAATTTATCCTCAGTAACTGTGCACACGAAGATCTCCGGAGATTAAGTTGAATCTAACGATCAATATAGCGTTCGTGTAATGACCCAATTATTAAGTTATTGGCCGCTGAAGTGTGCGAGACCGTAAGGCAGTGACACGACTATATTGGTATCCGTAATCCTACGCTCCCGCATCTTCGTCCCTCGCAATTAGATCGTCAGACATCTGACATTCTTAGATTGGTCTTGACTGCTTACAAAAGCGATTGGCGGTATGTCACTCGATCACGTCTGACCACGTGTTTATATCGGCACAATTGCGTAGTGAGCGTAGTCTAACGTTTAAACCAGGCTAGAAGGCTAGATCAACATTGGAGGATTGTTTTCTCACGATAGAACGCGGTGCTCTGACCCAAAACTCGACTGAATAAAGATAGATATCCCGTCGTCGGGAGATATAAAGGCTATCTAATAATAGGTATTCTAATTCCAGACTACTTTTAATGCACTGACATATTTGATTAGAGATTCATGAATTTGTGATAAGAAGAGGAATAACTTTCTGAGAAAGTTATTTCGTTGTAATTTGATTTATCTATAGAGACCGCAAATATGAAATTTCAGTCTCTTTTATTGGCTAAAAACAATTCCATCGTGTACATCTTATCTCAATTTGTATACTTAATTAATTTTCTTACGAGATTCTTATAACATTTACATTCTAAAGTATATCGATTTTCTGTATCGTGCTATCTCAATCCAAATGTTGCAAAAATCATTTTGCATGCGCAAAAAGGAATTTACGAGCAAAATTGACCGTGCCCAGGCTCCCTCAAAGAACGTTCGCGCTTCCTTCGAAATTCTGCATGCAGTAAAGTGAAGATCCAAAGGTTTTCTTAAGACCTTGCCGAGCCAGCACTTCTGACACAATATGACTTTACGTTGTTTCGCTATACTATGAGAGTAAAAAGCGATTGGATCCGGGACGTGAGAGAAGTATCTATGAACGAAGAAGAAATTGCCAAGGGTATAAAGGATCGAGGGACGTCCCGGAATGTTTCATAAACGCTTTCGTTCGACGTTACGTTTTCTGTGTGTGACATGGGGCAAATGGGCCAAAATATATTTTGAATCCGGAAACGATGCAGTAAAAAAGTAGTAAAGCGCACCTTCATATTTCTGCCGTGTAGAAAAAATAACTCGTGTTTTCTTTCAAAAAACTTTTAAAATAATCAATCATCTTACTCCGATAGAGACAAAAATGAGTGAGAACAGAAGAAGAGAAAGGGGAAAAAGAATAAAGAATAAACTCTTCTTATCATTAAAAGAAAAATGTCTTAATTTCCTGCTCGGTACTACTTCCAATAATATCATCAGTTTTATAAGCGAAATACAAAGTTTGTTTATAATTCTGAAAACAGAGTTATAAAGTTCGAAAGCTTCTCACGATTATTCATTCTAATAAATTGAAAGAAAAAAATAATGCAGTCGTAACAGTTTGCCATTATTAACATTTAAGATATGGAAAAAATCAATTGAAACTTTTTCTGTTTCAAGGAACAAGAAATCTTTTCTGTTATAGCAATTAAAGATTTAACCTATTTACCAGATGTTTTGAATTAAACGCGCAGACATTTATCAATTGCAGACTGAAAACCCATTCAAACGAATTCTTGACATGTGTGGCGTTTAATTTAGGTTCGCTAAGCATCCAAATCTAGCCAAAGTTTTATTAGTTCCCGCAATATGATTCGCAATTCGCTTCATATTCCATGAATTAGCGTGTCGAATAAGTTTGCCATGAGCATGCGACGATTAGTTGTTAGGCTATGACATAAAATGAATCGAGCATAATGGCCTCACATAAACTGAAATTGAAGGTGTTGCGAAGTCGATTTCGGCGCCAAACTTCTAGTCGAGTATAAATTCGCGTCTCACGCGTTATTAAACGAATTAATTTCTGCTAACGACAGGTCGGCCGCGGCAACAGCAATTTAAGCAATATATATGTCGAAGGCAACTTCGTTATTAATCTATTGTTTATTCGCAGCAAATAAAAAGAAACGTACTTGCTAAACATTTGATTCATATAATATAAATCAATTTATTAATTATTTCTAAAAATATGTTATTATTGCGACGCGTTTTAAGATAACAGAATTTAGTTTCATAGAATAAAAGTGTAAAAGGGAATTAAACGGAAATTAGTTTCTCTCTCTTTCTCTCTCTCTCTCTCTCTCTCTCTCTCTCTCTCTCTCTCGGCGCACATATTAACATTTTTAAAAAGAGTCAGGAAGAGTCTTTAGTATCTATGAAACAATAGTCTATAGTTTTCAATGCATTTTTACATATGATTGCCCTTATTCTTGAAAAATGCTTAAGTGCTTAATGGAACCTGAGAAATCGTAAAATTGTTGACTGAAAACCAACGAGAGAGAGAGAGAGAGAAAAGGGGGAGAGAGAGAGAAAATAGATAATTGAATTATTCTAAATAATACAATGGAATTATTCGTGGAATATATTCACATGAAAAAATCTCCGCTATAAACGTTTCTCGTAAATACTGATATAAACGTAATAGAGATACAATGCAGCGCTTGCACACCATGTACCTATTATTGCATCCCGTATTTCGCACAATTTCCTATACATTGCATTTCGAGGTTCGAGGTGTAATACACCCGTGACGAAATCAATGATTTTTTTATCGCGGTTGGTGAACAATATCGGGCATTGCACTCAATTAACCGGGGGACAATTACTTTCAATGAGGTTCAATGAAATTCGCGGCGTGTTCCAAATACCAGTTTATATCACTACGGGGGATGATACCACGAAAATGTCTCTATTCAAATCAATATGCTGCTTCGAATAATGTCTATTCTGAAAATATTCGTCGTCGAACACAATAAAAAGGTGCGTGACAAGAGACAAAATAAAATTTTCATATAGTTAGAAGTATTATAAAAATTAGTTACAAGTGTGATAATCCTGAATGGTAACTAAATACAATCTATAAATTCTTCGCTTCAATCTTCATTTTAATGTCCTTTTTGTATTCAATAATTATCATAAATAGATAATATTTTTGATACAGTCTTAAAGACATTAAATATTTTGACTGAAAGAATAGGAAACATTCATAATATCATACTTATGATAATTGTGTAATTAACGATTATTAACTTCAGTTTGAACTGTCTGTTCATATCTAAAAGTGAAACATAATTCTGATATATGAAGTGCTATTCGAATACCCCGGAAGTACCTCGGTTCACCGAAACGCACTCAGTTAGCTGGTTCCTTTGTTTCTCTTTTGGACTTAGGGATTTTACTCGTATACTTAGCTCGCTAGCAAAAGAACAATCCGTCTGCCTTCTACCTTTATAGAACGTACGCGATTAAACTTTTCTCAACGAATCGAATTTAACTTTCTGCACCGTCCGGGGTAACTACTTTTGTTACTCGTTCACCAACAACCTCGTTACACGTTGAACACCGCACTGTGTCGAGATGGACTTCTGGAAGTTGCACTCGAAAGAAGAACGAGTTAACTATTGATTCTGAGCAACTCCGGATGAGAGCTCTAATCATAACTGTTATGAAGTCTCCCACACGCAGTTATTTCTTTCGACATGAACAATTATTGAAGCTGATTGTGAGAGCAGGAGGAATCGAATGCGCATGACAGTCAGCTTGCAACATGTTGTGTGTACGTGCTATATATTAATATAATACAATATATACACATAACATATATGTGAGATATGAATCTCTGAAATAGAAGTACGCTTTCAACGAAAGAATAGTGTAGAGAAAATTATTTGATTTTCTATTATTAAGATAAATTGGAAATATTGATTCTTTTCGATGATGGAATTATTGCTTTAAGAGATTGCGGATATTTTTCTAAACTCTTGATATTAATGCAATTGAGTGAAAGAGGTCATTGTGATAAACAAAGTTCAATTAGAGATGGCTACAGTATATCGGAAATCATATTGGATAATCAAGAAATCTTTAAAAAGCAAGATAACACAATATTCTCTTTTACGTGATGATCGTTTTTGCGTGTTTTAATCAGAGACGACGAAACCGATAACGAACGAACGAACGAACGAACATTGGCAACATTGCGTCACGAATTTAGCCCGTAATTGTGTCTTTTTCTGATTACCGGTATACCATCTGTATCCGCTTCAGTTTGGTTTTCCCGTTTTTCTTAGTCGTTGTCCTCACCTCCAACCACCAACACTATTTGTGTTTTCTTTTCATTAACGCTCCTCGTCGTTCGCGCACCCGACACGTATCTCATTCACCTTACTACTATTTCGCTTTTTTATCCACATTTGAACACTGACGAGAGGAGACAGTTGAAAAGGCACGTCCTTCTGATGAAGTAACGACCAATGATAAAAACACGACGATTAATATCAGGCAATAAGACTATATACATAGCTCGAATGATGACTGTCAATTCTTAACTTCTTCGTTCCCAACCGGTTCCCAATCATGATTAATTTTTTAGTTTATTTATAACATGCAAACGCAAACAAGTTTATTCGAAGAAGAGGCCATTCAAAAATTCAAACCTTATTTTTAAAATGTTCTTAAAAAATGTTCTCAAAAAATATTTATAAAATGTCATGCAGAAATAACTCGTTAAAAAAAGACTCTCTAGTAACGAATAAAGGCTCCGTACTAAAAGGATTAACGACGATAGAATAAACAGCCGACCGTAATTGTTTGCATAATTAACGAATCGCGTCAGTAAAATTGCGACACGTCCAATAAATTGCATACGATGTTTTGAAAAGGGATAGCGATTGAGTTTTAAACAGATGGACTATCAGCGTTGAGCAAACGACTTTTGTTAATGGGCCAAATAAATGTTTATGGTTTTCATGACGACGCTTATTTATGATCCAAAAATTTTATTGATTATTGCAAGTACGCGGCAGTATGACATTCGTGCAATACGAACGATCTCCATCCCTGAGCCATTCGGAAACGACGACGACAACGTCGTTTCTTTTTACGCGAGATTGATCCCATTCCCTATCACGTCAGCGATTCTTATCGTAAAATGTAGCACGCGCGCGCTAGATAAACAACGCGGCAGAGCAAACAGAAACTTTGTGGTGTGGCTCTCTAAGACAGCAAAAACGTAATAGTAAATAAACATTGACGTTCGCAATAACTCACAAACGATATACTAAAAAGATATTTTCGCGATCGTTTCGTAAACTCATCGATACGCGTATGAATACTGTCCATTCATCGAGAAATTCATGCGGTCAGAGATAGATATCTTAAAAACATAGTAAATAGCCAAACGTAACTACAGATCATTTTCGTTTCTCTTGAAATAATTAAACGGATGCGACAATATTATATCTTCAAAAATAAAATGCAATTATCATTTTAATGATTTTTCTGTAAAAAAAAAGATCTATAATTTCTCTCTTACATGTATCCCTGTAACAATTATAAACATAGACTGTAGTGTCTATATTAAATATTTGTTTTTCCCCAATTCATACAACTATTCCGTCTATCATCATTCATCAATCATCAACTAGGCCGTCTCTAAAAAGACGCAACAAATCTGAACAAATTGTGTTACATGCATTAGGCGAGTGCGTATAAACTTTCATCGATTAGACAAGTTTTCCTACTGGTTCTGACGAACACGTAGGGATAATTAAAATTGATAGTCCCGCGTTACGCCCGATTATTACGTCCGATTCCCCTAACGATAGACGGCTGTAACTCGCACCATTTGACGAATCGAGCGTGAAATTAATTTCACCATTAGTGCACTTTGACGCGCATTATCGTGCCGCCGCAGCAGAGCACGCGGATCGCATCGCGTGGTACCGCCGTATATCACAGTACGCTTGCATATGGAATGAATGCGTCCTACCGTAAGCAATTTTCGCCTCCAAATTGAGCCGGCACTCGTGCCGCGTCATGTACATGTAGGGCCGCGGCTCACCCGGGCACCAGGGTACCGACGGACCGCAAACGCATTTGCCGGCGGCCGCCACGTTTCCGTTCTCGGCCGCGATTCCCTCGCCAACCAGGTTGCAGCCAGCACCCGACATCATCGGCCCGTGCGGACAATGCCTTCTCCATCTGCCAGGGATTTCTGAAAAACGCAATACCGGATACATCATGAGTATATATAGAAATTCGCAATTTTTAAACATATACTATTGTAAAAGAATATAGAAATGCCTTTATTTTCCTTTTCAAACAAATAAAAAATAAGACAGTGAGTTAAATCAGTGATGTCGTCTCCACGCATGTATATACCCAGAATTCTTCTTTCATTTATATCAAGTCGATCGCGATCAATTGACAGTAACACAGTGATTGAATTCGAGATCATAGAAATCGATGGATGGAATATACGCGATCGTTTTGTGTCGGCTAAGCTGGTTCTATTATTCAGCCATGCAACAGAGATTGCGCAATTTTATTATTCATCGACCGCAAGCCATCTGTTTCTTCTCTCGTATATGATTGGCCCCACAGGAGCGAGTGTGGTTTTTGGTATGCGTAATTTACAAGTGTTTATGTTTGGTGCATACGGTATCGGTCTGTTTAAACGTATATGCACATTTATCGCAAAATATCAGATAATCAAGTTAATTCGCATCGTGATAACGGTTCCATTGTCGGTAGATTATTATTATGCATCGAATGGTGAAATTGAAAAATCGATCTCGATCGCAATCATGAGATGCCAATGAATAATATTCAAAATATTTGCATAATATTGGCTGCTATGAGAATCCGTATGTCTTTCATTAAAAAAATGTTTTCCTATAATGTAACACGCATACCTTGTACACTTAAAAATCCATCACGATCGATAATGACGTTTGTACTTGTAATAATCCGGATTATTGCACAGAGGAATCATCGTGAGGAGAAAATTTCCGTGAGAGAGGCGGTGCGACGGGTGCGACGCGACGTGACGTTGCGCTGTACAAGAGACTCGAGTGTAATAGCAACGCGGAAAAATTCCAGAATCACGCATCCGTGGCGAATTCGCCAGCGGAGCAAATCGAGCATCGATAACGGCGCAATTACAAAACCGTCAACATCGCTGGGCACCGCTTACTGCATACACCGCTCGTCCGTCGTCGCCGGGTGAGGGCTGAGTACTACGATACCGTCGATACCCGAGGGTATAATGCGGTCGCCTAATGAGACGTGGTGTGTACCCGGACGACAAATTCCAATTCAATTGCATTCACCGTACTAGTCGCTGACTGAGAAGCACGGGAGAGAGAGCGTTTTAAAGTCGTCGCCGGTATTTGAAAGAGAAAAAACAGCAATTAGCTCTAGCGCCATTCGCACAAAATAACCCCGGAGGGATATGAGGCACGAGGAAAAGATGGAAAATGGGGCAGAAACAGAATCGGAACGATCAACTAACTGGACAATAAATCGAGGCCGAAGTAGCCGGTTGTTTGACACGAAGGGCGGTTACAGCCTGCCGTGATATCCTGGGCTGTGGCCACGCTGACCCTCTTCGCCCCTTTCCTGCCTTCTCGATCGCACCGCGTTTCAATCGATAAGTTTAATAATCCACGGATGGGCTACGCGGAGAAAATCGAATTTGCCGATCGGTTTGCCCATCAGCCCTCCGGGCCTCCTAAATGCGAATTCATTTCGAGCTAATGGCTGGGAATGCGCTTCCGTCTAATTGCCCATGAACCGGTCAGATATGCGCTACGATATCCAAATGCAACCGAATTGCGGCGGTTTTCGATTAAGAAAATCGAAGATACTGAGCGTTCCAAGAATCAGGTCGCAAAAGCAACCGCGGAATTACATTTCTTCAAGATAATTTCTTGGTATCGCCAATACGTGCCATTAGCAAATTTACTTTAACCATCTCCGAATTTAAAGCTGCATGCACTTTAAAGCTTACAAATTTAATTGTCTCGACGTATGTCGTGTAATTTGAGATTATTGCTTCGTTTTTCGCTTATTAATTTTATTAATTCTATACCCTTATTGTGTTAGCTTTCGATATCGATGACGTCTCCCCGTTAAGAGTGCAATTTATTGACGAAAAACGTCGAAGCTGCCACTTTCGATGCAAATTTATTTCGAGTTAATGGACCATGCACACGATGACCAATTGACCGTGACTGTTCAGGATGCACATTTCCGCTTTTACGTACATTACGCCGTTGATCTTTCCGGAGTAGCAACACTAGCGACACGAAACTCGAGAAGTCAGACTGCACTTACAGTTGTGGACCGTGCAATCGGCTTACTTGGAGGTGCATTTGGTCTCTTGTACCAGCGTGGGTAATCCGTTAAATCGTCAGTAGCCACTTTCCTAATGTGTCGACACTTGCTTACCTACGCCTCTCTCGCCAAGCTTTCCTTAAAACGGTGAAATTACGCACTTATAAAAAAATATTACATAAAATAGCGTAACACTTGCGCGCGTTGGTACACGCGTATATAAATCTAAAAAAAAATTAATAAATACTAATGTTAACTTTGTACTATTCTTATTCTAAATAAATAAATTGAATAAATAAAGTCATAAGTGTAAAAGAAGAACGATTAAAAATAATTTGATAACTTTTGAAAGTTTTTTGTATTAAAGAGATTATTAACCTGAATAATATTTTGTATAATTTATTTTGTATAAATAAGATAAGAATATGATGATTGATGTATATGAAAATAATTATTATTACCTATCATCACAAAGAGCGCTAGCAAAATATTACCAAAGTAGATATTCAGACTTATTTTATAACAATCCCAATAGCTTAAGCTATAAAATAATTAGCACATTGATGAGTAAATATGCTGTGATTTTAATTAAATTAATATATATTTATTGAATCTAATGTGGATGCGATTTAATTAAATGTAATTTTAGGGAGAGATAAAGATATTATCATAAATAAATGCATACTTCATTCAAATTTATTCTACCATTCCTACCCATTACCTTTTCAGTAATGGTAACATATAATTGCTTTAACCACTTTAACCAATATTAAGTCATAATCCCATTGCTAAAATATCGCTACAACAACATGCCTACGATAATAAAATGTTTTACACACTCGTTACTATAGTACGTGAGTTTATACGGTCATATCATGAACCATGCGAAGCACGACGACGTTTTATGTAGCACGCAAAGAAATGCAGATTTCCGGTAACCAAAGTAAACGAAGTTGTGAAAAATAACGGCGTTCCACCCAGCTCAAGTTATAAGTAACTCTCGGCAAAGAGAAACGATGAGCAACTTAATCAACCAGCGCGAGTGTATTAAGGGAGTCGGTAGTAAAGAATCATGCGCCGTTGGAGAAATGCGAAACTAAGAGTGGAAAAAGTATACCGCTAGATTTTTTGCAAACCCCATCTGCATACGTAACGTGTGGAAAGACAACGCATCAGAGTGGACCCTTTCACGCGATGACGATTTATTTTTCTGCACGAGCACACATATTTATTTACACGTATGACCTAATCACTTACATAAACAATAAAGTTTTACGTTACTGTAAATTTTATATAGAGATAGAAAATATCGACGTTGATTTGTCAAATCTATACTTGCAAGTAAAACAGATATTTGCGTTTGGCTACGTTTACAATTAGATCCAATCGCGAAAACAACCGCGGATCCATTAATAGAGCTTCTTTGATTAATTTCTTACACGTATATACATGATAAGGTTGCGACAACTTTTTTTAACAATCATATTAAATCAGATTGTAAACCCAGTTGCAATACATTCACCGATATATGTATAATATTTTTTTATTATTTTTCTTCTTTTTGAAAGTATAGTTCCATGTACGTTTTATGTCGCCGAAACCTTCAAATAAAAATAAAAGATTCATAGGCCAAATGGGAATACTCCTAAAATGTGCACATTCGGTTTCGATATTTTCTCGTTGCAATATGAAACATAAAGTCAGTAGGTCATACGAACACCTTCGCAAAAAAAGCACAAACGTAACATGGATCTCGAGATTTCTTGATCTCGTGACATCCTCAGTGTTTGAGGCTACTTCTCTATATCTATCTTGTTAAATTAGATTGCGAGGATCCCTGAATACTACGAAACAGTTCTGTGACTTCGGGAATAATCCAATAAACTCTTTAATAATGAAAACATTTTAGAGAATAACATTCCGCGAATCGTTTAAACTCGATTATTATTAAAAAGATAATAACTCCTCAATAGTGTTACTATTCTTTTTTAGGAGAAAATTTATATTTTAATTGGAGATGAAAAAGCAACGTGAACATAAATTATTTATTCCAAGCTTATTCGGTCACCGTTGGAGAATGTTGCGTTTTTAATAATACGCTTCTCTGTATAAATAAAGAAAATAAATCTCTCAATAATGCTGCGCCCGTGTATTTCAGTTTAAAAAACGAAAACTGTTTTTCCCAAGCTCGCGAGTGAACGTGATTAAAAAAAAAGAGAGACAAGTTCGTGCGGATGGCAGTTGTTTCTGTAGTATGCGTAATGTATGGATACTCAAGAAAATTATGGTACGTTTAATGAATACGACACGACCTCGTTGTGACGTCGATGAAAACGGCATATCTCTCGTATACCTTTGACTGTGCGTGCTTGCGCTCTCGAGTACCCGCGAGTGCCCGTGAATACTCGCGAGTACACGCGCGCGGTTTCATTTTCTCTCAAACGCAAATGATAGGCATCATTGCTCCGCGTGTTGCGTCGAGTGATCAATATTTGCAGAATTATTTGCTCGATAGAATAGACAGATAATACTTATACATAAGCGTACTTTCAGCGTATCGAATTGGTTTACAAAAGCAAACAACTCGATAGCGAATGGAAGTGCAGCTTTTGTAAAGTGAATCAATCCGCCGCGCTGAGCCTGTACTGGGTTAAGTGCTAATGTAGTATTAAAAATGTTGCTGAACGTGTAGAAAAGGTCGATATATTGGATATATGTATATATCGCAATCGTAATACAGTAAAAGAATTATACCGTATAGTAAAGGAAATTTTCGAGAATTATGTGTCCGTGTATTTTTTTAATGTATAAAATAAGTTTCGCGTCGTGCAATCGATTGTGCGATCCGCAAGCAGTTCTGTGTAACTCTATAAAGCG